TTTTTTTTTTTTTAGCAAAGGCTGTGGGAAAGTATAGTTTGTCTTTATTTAGAAAATATGGATGTTTTGTTCGTTAATTTTCCTGTTGGATCAGTGTAGATTGACCGTGAGGTTTTGGTGCCTATCTACTTTCGGCCACCCCTTATTGTACATTGGTTAATGCCTGGCCGCCCTCATAAAAATGTTCTGGCTACGGCTCTGGGTGCAAACAGCTTATTCTATGGGTTTAATAGAGCAAACACTACAGTTAGCAATGCAAGCTATATTAGACCAACCTGATATAACCAATACCTGCAAAATATGCTGGAATCAGAATCAGATTATTTTCAAAAAATGATTTAATCAGATAAGGAAAAGATCCTCAAATCTGTTTTTGTTTTTGTTTTTTTATGACAACGAATTTATGACTTACACCAAGTATTTAAATAACTGTTAATTATTTTTTGGGCCACTTTTCTCTCCATAATCGTTTGGGTTTTCCACCAGACTACTTTGTTTAAGGACATTGCAAAATATATTAATCTTTGATGAGACTTTGACTTTGACTTTGACTAGGCCACTTAAAAATAAAAAAAAACTCAGGACTTGTTGCTTGGCTTCATTGTCCTCCTGCATCTGCAAAGTGTTTTGCTTATAGGTCACATGCAGAAACCCAGACATCTTCTGTTAGGGTTTTCTAGTTGAATGTAGAAATCCTGGTTCCAAACCATCAAACTACCACCGCCATGTTCCACTATTGCAATGATCATTTCTAAAAGGTGTTATTTGTCCTCAAACCGGATCTAAAAGGAGGGAAAACGTCCACAAAACTTCACCTTTTTCTCTCATCTGTCCACAGCACACTTTCTTAAAAGCATTAATCAGGATGAAAATGTGAGATAGAATTTTCTTCCATGGACACTATCTCTGCCCAGTCCCTCATTTTTAATGTTAATCTATTAACTCTAAGACAGTAAGGCCCATTGTGATTTGGATGTTGCTCTCTCCTGGGAAGACTCTCCATCATTCCATGTTTTCTCCAATTGTTTATATGGTCTTTATTTTGCTTCACAAAGCCTTTAATAACTGGTAGATCTCAGTGACTTTGTTTCTTTTAGCCAACTTCATAATGTCAGACGGGTTCAGTTTAAGTGTGTATTTGAATCTACAGCTCTAGAAATTATAGGAAAATATGGTGAATCATAGAATTTTTCTTAATTAATATAGGAGAAAGTTTCTTTTCTAAATAAAGGCTGAGAAGGTTATTTTCCCCAAATGAAAAATAAGATAATTTAAACACAGATTTTTGTATGTACTCCAGCTATAATAATCTGATATTAAAATTGATTTCTTTATCCCAAAAAAATCAAGTGTGATAAAAAAAAAAAAAACTAAGAATAATCATGGAAGGAGAAGAAGAGGAGGAGCCATGAAAAGTTATCACAACGAGGGATTAGGAGGATGAGTGGGACGGAAAGGTTGATAGATGAAATGACAGATGAGTGATAAAAATGTAAAGGGATCTAAAAGACAAATGAGGAGAGCAAGTGAGATGGAAACTGGTTATAAAAACTTGGGATGTTAAGGATTAAGAGCATTCAGAGGAGCTAAAGAGATAATGTGACGTGATCAGAGTAGCTTGGGTTTAATGGTCAAACTCTGATGTATAATAACCATTAGATATTCTGTGACTCCTCATGTTTTATTGAATAAAAACCTGTTTTGGATTTGTTGTAAAAACCAGGGATCAGAAAGAATATGGATAATCATCCTCCAAAAGCCACGTGATTTTATTTTTTTATTTACAGTAGCTAAAGATGTCTGAAAAACATCTGACGACAGATACTAAGTCCGTTAGGTTTGTGTCTGAAAGCCCCAAAATAGCCAAGCAACGGAAAGGTGGTGAAAAAAAAGAAACTCAAGCAAAAGGATGAAAATAACCTTCTATTATAGGAAGTGAAAGTACGTTTCAAAACCCTCCAACTAATCCCCTTTACAAATACTTTTTTTTTTGTCCTGTCTCTGAGGCCAACAAATGGTCCCTGATGAGAACAGCTGGAAACAAACTAGGCAAACTGTCCTACTGTATGAAGGCAAATTACATCAAATACAGAAGTCAGGGAATATTAACACATTCAAGGTTCTAAATGGTAGCCATGTTACATCTTCTGTACCATCAAGATCGTTTTATCAACTGAATTATAATCTATAAAACAGAAACTATTCACTTTGTAAAACCATCAACCTTCAGCTTTGATATAATGACCTATATTACACTGGTTTTTAGCTATTCCCAGTACTGCAGCTAACCAAAACTTGACTCAATTCTACCTTCAACCCAAAAAGCTGCAAAACAAAGAACGCTTCTGGATGTCTGAGCGTATTGGACCATAGGTACCAGAATTTAGAAGATAATTTTCTTTATGATTTACACCTTCTAGATACAAAATATGAATTAAAGCTTTCTAGTTGGGTTGTGCTCACAGTACACTTGTAGAAAGTTCTCATTAAAAGATCTTACCACTGATGCAAAATAGCATCTATATTGGTTTGACTGGATATCAGTTCTGCATACGGCCTTGTCAATCATGGTTTCTATACAAAAATCACACGCGGGGTTCCCCAAGGCTCTATTCTCAGGACTCTTTAGTTTTTTTTTACTATCAACATGCTGCCGGAGAGTTTATAGCATCTTCTATCAATATCTAGACTGATATACTATAGTTCTGTGTCACCACAGTTAATTAGGGTAACATTGTACCCATAAGCTGGGTCAGAATTTTCTAAAATATTAGGGAAAAACAGGTAGTCAATCATTTTGGCCACCCAAAATGTTTTTCCTTTTCCTCAGCGGGGTTACAAATGATAAAACATGCAAGAAACTGTT